AGCGGACATTTGGAGGGTGTACGCAAGTTCTCGTGCTCAGGCTTGTCCGGCTCTTCCTGCCTCTAGGAAAGAGAAGCATCGTTCTCTGTCTCTCTCTCTCTTTATCACTCTCTCTCGCTCTCTCCCTAGATCGAGCTCCACCTCAGCCGGCGATCCCAAAAATCCCTTCCTCATTGCCCTGCTGCTGCCCGCCCTAGCACATCGTACGGAAGAGCAATTCAGATTTTCCAACACTTGCTCCGAGGTGACGGGCTCGTGCTCATTCGGGATCTTTGCAGCCAAAAGCTCAACCCGGAAATTGGAGCTTCCTACTTCGGCTTTTTTGTACACTACCGTATTCGGCTGCATAAGCGTATTCTTGCGTACTACTCCATTTTGATTACCCTAGAATCATTCAAATTGCTAAGCGTCACTACCTTAATAAGTTTTTCCTTTGCGCCCCCGTGGTCCAGCATTGTGGTTGTATTCCTTGTCATCCTCTCCGATATTAGGGGAAGTATTCATTGATTTTTTATTATTATTACCGTGCGTTAGCAACTCGATTCCGCGATTTTATATAGCTTTATGGCAGTATGGCGACATTAACCCATTTAATTTGTATTTCTTCACGTGTTATTACGATTACGATTAAGAGTATTCTAACGTCCACTTCCTCTAGCCTTACGGTACATCTTCCTGCATCCATTCATACAATGCTGCATCCATTTTCCGTTACATCTTTTGAGCACGAGCTCGATTTCTTGAATCCGGTCCCCAACTAACCGATCGATTTCAAAAATCTTTATCACCCGATTTCGTACTTATCCTCCGTACACTGAAATACTTTGATGTGCGGTGCCGCAAAACCGCTCGTACTACACCGCGCGGTTACACTATTCGATCCATCATCACCTTTTTCCACTCGCTCTCCCCATTCCGGGGTTGATACTCCGTACCCCCGACTGTCCTGAGCAGTCCTGCTACGCGACGTCACACTGAACCCTGGGAAAGGGAGATGCCCTAGCGGGTCAGGTCAGCGGGAACTTATCGGTGATGGGGTGGCGATGGTGATGATGATCAGAATCATGCACAGATTTGATAGCGAAGGCGTAGAAATCGCGATGGCCGCGCTGGGCAAATGAACTGCTTGCATGTGGTGATGTAGATGATCATCAGCGCGCTCAAAAAAAACTTTTTTCTAACGTCATTGGGCTCGTTTTACATAAGGGCGTCGTTAAATTCGGTGATACCTCAAAAATGATCAAAAACTAGGTGCATTTGAAGAACGCGCTGGGCTATGGGCTGTAGATGATCATCTTTGAAAGTTGCATTTTACTCGATTTAATTTTAGTATTTAACGCCTTCATGAACGGTTCTGAATTCTGGACCTGATCTAAAAATGTTCGAAAATTTGGATACCCAAGCTGATCCGCGACTCGAATCTATTGACGTTCTTCAAGTCGACGTCCCTAGTAGCGTACAGAACGCGAAAACTAAATTTGAAAAGTATATACAATATTTATTATGTTTTTAACTTGCGCGTATATTAAGTTCAATCGAATTCACGTGGCGATAAGCTGCCACTTTACATCAACATGGCACTTTCAGAATTGTGCATTAATACGGGGCTCAGCAACTCCTTGTTAAGCCCCTCAAACCACCCAAAAAACACGTTTCCGGTTCGAACCTTCCCCGGCGTTAGTACGGCGAGTACGAATCGGTACAGTGAGCGGTGAACATCGCCGACAAATTGCCGGTCTCGACAACCCGTAATTCCCCCAAAAACGGGCAGGCTCCGAAAAAATGGGGCGCCCCACGGACCGTCGAGCTCAAATTTGTCCTTGTACTTGTCGCGGGGGCCGAGAGCCGCACTTTTTGGCGTTTCCACTACTCGATCAGGCCCGGAGAATGTACGCAGCAAAGCTGGTGCGCCGTTTTTTTCAAGGAGTGGCAGGAAATTGTGATCGATTGAGGCTCGTCTGGAGTACTTTTGGGTGATCAAAAATTCGGATTGACGAAATTGAACTGTTTTTAACGATTTTTTTTTTGGATTTTGCAACTGGATCTATGCTTTAAAGGGGTAGAAACAGCAAAGATTTGTAGTGCCCACGCTTAGAATGTTCAAAATATGTCGCGTGTGCGCGCCGTGCTGTGTGCTGCGTCGCGTTATGCTTTGCATGCCCTCTTGCGTGATGCGTTGCGTGATGCGTTGCGTGCTGCGTATCGTGTTGCGTGGCGCGCTGGGTTGCGTGATGCGTTGCGTGCCGCGCCGGTGCTGCGCGGCGTAGTACGTAGTACGTACTCGCGTAGGGCGTATTTGAAATTTTTACCCCATTCGAGAATTTCATATGTCCAAAGGATTCCGCGCTTGTTTTGTCTTTCTCACTGCAATCCGATCTAACACCCTCAATTAGATACCGTAAAAAAACGTACATTCGAATACCAAGTACAGCTTCTCCTTTTTTAAAGCTTTCAAAGCTTGAATTTGCGCAAATTGTCAATTTAAATGATGATGTTATAATTGATAGTTGTAAATTGAGCATTAGAAATGTTCAAAACTCGATTTAAAGCATTTTCAAGCCTAGGGAAGAAGAAAGCGCGAGACACGTACTTTTCATTCCTACGCACCCCCTATTGTTTCAATTGCCCAATTTCAAGTTCCGCTACTTACCGTTTTTTTGGTTCAAATTTGCCGCTATAGGACGGTGACATCCAAATTGAGCACCGTAGTCTGGCCATTCAGGCAATTTCGCGGTGGGACACCTGCTTGCCAATATCGTTCCCCTGATGCTAATTAAGTTCCAGGGTACGGTAGCTGGGAATATTCTTTTATTAAGCGGTGGTGTACTGTAGTCGTTATTAGTTTATTAGTAGTAGTCGGTTGGGGCTACGGTAGATTCCAATTAGCGTGTCCTATGGCATCAGCGTCAGTATCAGGATTCCTCAAGCGTATTTGCTTGATTTTCCTGAAGTAAAACACATTTTGTAAATTTTAATGGTCAGGTCGGTACGAATTTTTTTATTTGTTTTTGTTTTAACGTACTATACAGAAGTTATAAAAAAATTGGTTTTCTCGTTTTGTCAAATTTTAGAGTGATTTTACTCCGGCTACCGTAGGTTTCCTTGTAGCGGCTTGGCGCATTGCCTCGTAATTCACTTTTTCGCAGCAAATTGCTCCGCTCATTCCATAACCAAACTTTAACGACGTTTTTTGTACTTGTTGCTGGTCGTAACCCACGTTTTTTGAGCGGTGAGTTGCTCTTTCCCGCGCCGTGCCAGTAATTGAGCGATAGGCCACACACCCGGGGCGTTTTTCTGGTTCTGAACCAGCGGTATGAATACACGAAGTACGTGTTGCTGCCCCCGGACGGGACTGCCGTGTGTGCCCGCCCCAGCAAGCCACGCCCCTTTTCGGGAATTCAGACCTGCGCCCGCAATCACCCCGGAAAAATCTTTGCCCCGATCATTGACACCGTGCCCGGTCGCTGATTTTTTTGGGAAAAGCGGCTGATAGGATTGTCTCTTCGAACCTTAAAGGAATCAGGAAGACACGGAAAAAATTAGCACGAGCTTTATTGTTTGACATCCGCATGAATCTCCTCTGCTCCATCCTGCCTCGCACCGCTGTTTGCTCATTTTTTACAGTAGCGTTTCCGGTTGGCTCTTTGCCAATTATTGATGACCCCTGATCTACTGGGCCTTCCTGATCCCTATAAAGGACCGTTAAGTCGGATTTCACGTCAAAAACTTTTTGGAATGATTGCTGAGGGTTGCGTCTCAATGTAATAGATTTTAAAGGGCCATTGAAGGTTTAATCCAATTGTTTATTCGGCAGACCTGCTTCTCAACACCTAGTTTACCTAGAATTTGTAATGTTAATAATTCTAACTCGAATCCGAAGCACCTACAATTTTCGGTTTTTAAATCTTCCTAATTTTTGCATCTGATTTGACCATTTTATTAACGTAGTCGTCTCCAAAAATTTGTCCCCGCTCACTGGCTGACACTTGGGGGCGTTCAGGGTCTCTGGTTTTTGGGCTGATTGCTGATAGGGGAGAGTTCAGACCTAGGCCCTTCAAGCTGATGCATCCAACTGAAGTCTCATTTACTATACAAAATCTACTCTACTATATATTTTACTTCATTGCTTGCATTACATTAATTCTGCAGGTACCTGAATGATCCGCTAAAGCAAAAATTTGAATTTTGCAAAAAAAATCTAATTTTTATTTTTTACTCTTTACAAACGCTTAAAGTTTTAAATGCACCCGGTCTTTGCGATTTTTGCTAAAATTTCTGGGAATTTTAACGCCCCGATTTACCTCCATTTCCCTGCCTCAAGCTCTTCGTGAATCCCATCTCCGATTTTGCCCCCCGATTTCCTGTTTGCCTTGATAATCTGATTCAACTTGTTGCGCTCAGTTTCCACTCCCGCGCCCTGCAACAGTAGTTGAACCAGGGAACATATCCGGTTTAACCAGAAAACCGGTAATCTGTAAGTTCAAACCTCTTACACCTTTTTCGTTTCTACCCTTGTGCTCCGGGGATAATCGCCAAAAATCAGTTGTATTTGATGAACATTGAACAAAATTTGACGGGATTACGGTATCCATTTTGCATCTAAATATCATTCTCAGGCCTCCTGGGAACGTTAAATTAAAATTTTTAATACGATTTAAATAATTGTTTTCACGGTTGTTGAAAGGAAGTCGAACCTGTGATTTGTAAAAAGCCCGTTTTGTATCGTACTTGGTGGATTCTTGCGTAGCCGTCTGGGTAGTATAAAGACCAGGGCCAAACTACGCTTTTCGGGCCGCGCATCAAGATTCTCAATCTCTCTGCTAGCTTAAGTATTATGCTTTTTTTTCTTATTTCTGGCCTATCTCTAGGGTTTCCGGTCCTTTCAAACACCCTGGTGATGTTTTTCTTTCTGATTTTGCCATGTCCTCATGTTTGGCTCCTTTTCGTTGATTCTACCATATTGTTAGCATACTTTATATACCGTGATCTTTTTCCAGAAAATGCACTCAACAAGCCCAACCCCATCGACATCGAGTATCAGCTCATTTATTTCTACAGGAACCCTGGAGTCACCGACCGATTTCTCACCGGTTAAGGTATGTATGATACTTAATCATACTGTACTAACCTGAAAAATGAAAAAGTCATTTCTTAACATATTAAAACAATCCCTTTTAGTCTGGCTCCCCAACTGTCGAATTGTCCTGCCGGGTCTGCGGCTCCGTCCCGGCAATTCATGTCTATGGATCGTACTGCTGCGGGTATGTTGTTTTTTGTTTTCTAGCATTCTATGATACTCTAGGCATCGAATTACGGTAGATGCATTTTTATGATTTTTAGAGGCTGCAAAATCTTCTTCCTGCGCTGCGCCGTCGGCGGCAAGCCATTAATGTGCACAAAGGGTGGACGCTGTGAAGAAGGTATTTCTATTTTCATTTTATTTCATTTTAATTGATTTTTATTTGTAATTATTCTAATTAGACTGCTTAACTTTATTATAATCCCGAAATCATATGCTTTTTCAGCCTCCGAAGGTGGCCTGAAAAAATGCCGAGCCTGCCGTTATCAGAAGTGCATTCGGGTTGGACTACTGCCAAATAGTGAGTAGTTTTATCATTTTTATAAACTTTTTAAGTACTTTAAGTACTATTTTAAGTATTTTAATTAACTTTGAAGTATTTTAAAATGCCATTTAAATGAAATGAAATGAAAATTAAATGAATTCCGACGTTTTTATCCGGCTAGGTTTTAATTGCAAGAAAAACCGTTGTTTTTCTACATGCTAAATTTTTCTAAGCCTTACCTTTTGCTAAAGTCAAATGTACAAGCAATATCGTATCCTTCCCAGCCCCCCCCCTGAAGCTTTATACAGTATTCAAGGCGTTTTTAGCCGCAGCAACAGCTGAAACAGCTGAAACAGCTGAAAACCGGCCCTGAATGCCGCAGCTGCTTTTTGATGAATAGAAACTGCTAGCATGTTGGCCTCTTTAGAACGACTGTACCTCTTCGTATCTGCAGTACGGTGTCTGCAACCTGTAGTGAACAAAAAGTGGCATAGCAGCGAAAAACCCATTTAAATGCAAGATTATATGAATTTTTTTAGTCCCCGGCCAACGCGCGCAACGCCGAAAGCTCGGCGAGCAAAAGCCGCAACTTGTCGGAAAAGTTGAGCATGTCCCACAGGTAAGAATTGCTCGTATCATTGGAATTTTTAGATTTTCTGATAGATATACAAATTAATGTATGTTTTTAGCCATCAACTCCCTGCACTCCTGCCCGGTCACCGCAAAATTTCTGCCTCGAGCCCAACTACAAGGCCATGGCGATGACGCTGGCAGAGGTGAGTTGGAGAGGTGAGAGAGAGAGAGAGAGAGAGAGAGAGAGAGAAAGAGAGAGCAAGGGAGCTGGAGAGCGAACAACGGGAATGTGAGAGAGCAATAATCGGTCCGCAAATGGTCTCGGCTAGCATTTCACTTATCGTACTGGTCTAGACAGTAACTAATGCGCTTTGACCCAATAAGTCCCAGCGCAGTGTTAGCGCCCCTTTAAAAAATCTCTGGTTGTGGAACAGCACCTAGTGCCACTGCCCCTTTAATAATGGAAAATGGGCTTTAAACGTGCAAAAACAAAGCCAACCCGATGAACGCTTGAATTTTTCCCGTCAGCATCCCTTTAAATTACGGTAACCGTGCTAGATTCAAATTTCTATCGTCATTTTTTCAACTTCCCAAACTACTCTCTAACAAACCAAGGATCGTGTGTTATCGTCCCCTCCCCGAACTGCCATATAGACACAAACAAACAGTGCCCCGACGAACCCCGGCCGGTATCGAGCCCCCTTCGCTCTGGTACGCGATAATCCGCTGTACACTCGGAAGTTTTTCCGATTTTTCCCGACCCCGCAGTGATCACCGCCAGAAACGGCAGTGATAACGCGGAAGTACCTGGTCCCGCTGCGAAATGCTGGTGTTCGATCGCTTATTTTCCGCAAAGCTCCCCGGAGTTCAGCTTTTTTCTCGCGTGGGAAAGCCTCCGAAATTTCCTGCATTTTTCGAGACCAGCGTGAAAGAACAATGCTTCCTGGATTTCCATGCTAATCAGAGGGGTCGGATGGAATGAAAAATTTGGATTATGTGGTGTGGCGGAAATACAGTGTAGTCGGAGTCGGAAAAATCGTACTTGAGAACCTGGATCTTAGATCTCAGATTTATCGCTATTTTCAGGAGTTGCGGCACAAATGCAGATGAGCTGATGCAGAACTGGAAGCTGCCTACAAAGCTGAGCCAAGTAAGATTTTTTCAAAGTTTGAAAAAAACGTTTAAGACAAAAAGATATTTATTACTGGTGCTCCTTAGCTCTCGCTCTCTGTTTCTCTCTCTCTTACTTCTCTGTCTGTACCTGTCTGTCTTTCTCCCTATCTGGCTCTATCTCTCTCTCGCTCGCGCGCTCTCTCTATGTCGTTCTCTCTCTCTCCTACTCGATCCTTCGTCTTCTCTTTCTCCCTTTCTTTGACTCTCTCAACTAGTTTTCCTTCATTTTAGTGCTCCCAAAAATTGCTCACCTACCGTATCCCACCCATCCTCACTTTTTCAGAGCTCATTCATGCCGCGTTGCTGTGGTCGCGCGGTCGCGCACCTGGTCGATTGGCTGAAAGCGACACCGGAAGTGTGGGCCCTTGACGACCAGGACCGGGTACGTTTGGATACACTTTTAAATACAGTACCCTCAAGGGCAAAGTATGGGTCCCGATAAAAACACTGACAAAATTGCGGGTTTGGACACTGTACCACACTTTTTTTTGGGGTGCGGCTGACTAATTGTGGGATTGCCCGGAATGGGCAGAATTCGCAACCCGTTCTTCCAGTATGGCTTGTTTGCACGGCGTGGTACAATTTTTTCGGGAGCCTTGTGATTCTTGGTTCAGCTTTGTGGCGGCGCGGGAAAAATTTTTTCAGTGTTTTCTCGTGGCGTAATTTGGCTCCGGGTGAACCGTGCAAAAATGGCAAAAGAAATTTGTAAGAAAGTGAGGTTCAAATAGGGCTGAAAATTCCAAGGAACTCCAAGCGACAGTAGGGAATTTGGGTCGTAAACTACAGCACGCTTTTTGGTATAAAAACCGTATTGCAAAGCGTAATACCGAAAAATTGCCGTCTTTGGAGAGATGCGGATTTTTATAGTTTGTCATCTTCCTAAAATGGCATAGACGAACGGAATTTCATTGCGTAATCGGAAAACAGCTTAAAAACTAAGGGCAAATTCAAAATCTTCAAATTACCAACGTAATTTCATAATTAATCAATTCAACTCTCCCATTTTCAGGTCTATTTCTGCTCCCGACTATTCCCGATGCTCTTCCCGCTGCAGCTCTTCTATTGTACCTACAAGCTGACCCGCGACGGGATGTTGAGCTGGCAGACCGACTTTTTGGCGCTGTATCCTGAGTGAGTTATAGGGCTTTAAACCGGAACGAAAAAGCCTAAATTTAGCCGAAAAAATTTTGACTATCACACCAAAACTTGCTATAACACCGGCCCTGAAATTGCATGCAAAGCTCTAACATTGATACCTTGTGGTACAGCTTTTCCAGTACATTTCGATACTAAAAGCTGACATCCAGGCCTTGTCGGCTGTGAAAAATTCATTATAAAGTATATATTTGTACGTTAGGCATTTTTATCATAATTCTTCAGGTTCGCCGAGGTACTCTCCCCGGGCGCCCTCAATTTGCATGCTCTTGTGATGCGCATGTTTCGTGATTCGGCCTCACCGATGAAGAGTACGCCGTTCTGAAAAACGTGATCATCTTCAGCAATGGTTTGAATCTGGCCAAAATATTATAAACCCCTCAATTTTAGCTCTCGGTTTCTCCCAAGCCAGCGCCGAGGTCGTCCGAAAAGCGCGCGTAAAGTATGAGGCTATACTGGTTCAGGTAAGAAAAGGTCAAAGAATATTACATAGAAGAAACCTCGTACATTTTAATTTTAATTTTTACAAAATATCATTTTTAGCTAATCCGTGATCGTGTTCCGGACGACACCACAGCGCTACGGTACATGAGCGACCTGTTGACGTTGCGGCAGACGTTATGCGTAAGTTTTTTGAAGCTGTTGAAACTTACAGAGGTTTTCTAGAATTACCTAATTACGAATCTGAACAAAAAAAAAAACAAAAATTACTTACAGTATTTTGGACCAAAAGGGTGTTTCTTGCCTTAAAGTAACAAGTAAAAATTTAGAAAGAGAAAGCTAGAGAAATTTAAATTATTTTACTGTATTTGCAACTTTAAGATGACTGTAACCAGCTCGTTAAATCATATTAATCGTTAAACTAAAAAAGTTAATTTTATCCAACTTTTTTTCAGAGCGGCATGCTGAAGGAAACGCCATACTACACCCGAGCTACCGTCCTCAAGCACCTCTTCAGCCCTCAAGACGGCCAGATCAGCCCCGAGATTTTTCTCGCTTCCCTGTCGACCTAATTTGCATCTATAGATATTCCCTGAAATTGAGTTATTTCATAGTTATTTAATAGATTTTAATAACACGACGCCAGGTGATATCAATATTCTTTGCCGCTCCCCCCAAAATCCGAATGCATCTCATATCCCGATTTTTCGTTGCCATAAATTTTCTTTGGAAGTATTGATGTATTTTTTATGCGAATTTACCTCAGAAGAGGATTTTTGCGTCTGGTGAATTTTCAAAGCGGTGGCAATCAATTTTGTGCATCATAATTATGTGCAGAATAAATTATTCCAAAGCTTACATGGTTTTACAGTTTATACGGTTGTATTTTCCACAAGCATTTGATAAAGTGCTTCGCGGCTTTTCAAACGTGGCACCTCTAGGATCTGTGCAAGCCTGCAAATTGCATGGTTCTTCCCGACAAAAAAAAATGAAAAGCGCGCGCCCTCCCGCGTTTTATAAGCGACATTCACTTGCGGCTAAGACTAATTGCTTTCTAACAAAGAGGATGGTAGAGAATTTTGCAAAAGAAACCTAATTTTAATATCGCAAATCGCAATTTTTCAAAAATTTGATGTGTGTGCAGTCGATTGCCGCCCCTTCTTGACCTAGTGACGTCTCCTCTCTAACCAAAAAGGCCCTAGGTGCGGAACAACGTTAGATTAATCGGTGGCAATACCGTATTTTATAACTTCACAAGGATTTAAAAAAAATCTGGTCTGATACAACATGTTCTTGTTGTCCAATTCTTTTGTCGACGTTCACTCGGCAATTGAAGGTAGGGTTCTATGCGACGCGACGGATACCTGGTTGTTGGTCGCCGATGTTCGCGGAATTATGCTATACCCATCATTATTCGCTGAAAATCTATGCTGACCCGGCCATTTTCGCAATTTTTTCACGCATATGCCGACGGTAGGGCTCAGTAGTTGTGGCCATGACGATAGATGCGATCAGCGCATGGCACGAGTTGATGAACGTGCCAGCATTGATGATCGCTTATTTTTAGTAGTAAATCACTTTTTAGAGGATCATTTTGTCGAGAAATATTTTTTTGGACAATAAAATCTTGTCGAAATTTCATTTTGGCGAAATTTGAACGACTTTTTGACGTCGATTGTTTATCTAAAAAAATTTCACAAATTGTAATTTCATCACCTGGACATTTCGATAAAATGATTTTTGAACAAGATGAATTCATACCTATAGCAAATCTGATATTTCCATTTTACCTGGATCCCAGGAGGGCCCGAACAGGACCAAAAAGATGTTATACGCCCAAGGCCCGCCAATGGTACCAATCGGAAGAAAGACCTGAAAAACGAATGACCTTCTAGAAAAGACAGCAAAACCTGATACATAAGCGATACAATCAGTTTGCGATGGAGGTTTTTGGTCTTGGAGCTCATGAAAGTGGAGGTGCGGAGAATGGAAAAACAATGGGTGATTGTCACCAAACTCTAAATGCTGGGGTATTACGACATGTAATTTACGCGGCCAAGAAAGCCGATTTTGTCCCAAAAACATTTGGTTTTTTCAAAAATTTAAACGTCCTCGGAACGAAATCGATTTTTCAGTATTTTTAGGTAGTATATTTCTGTTTTCCAAAGTTAATTTGATTTCTGAACCCTCGATTTTTAATTCCTTGGCCCTTTAAGCATTTTAGACCCCCCGTTAATGAAGGTTTTATCAATCGAAGACGTTGAAAACGGCAAATACTAAAGCACGGATGCTCAGCGATTTAGATTTTTCGGTTTCGAAAGCTTTTCGATGGCACACAAAATATCCCATTACGACCTTCCGCCTAGAGAAGATCTGGCAGTGTATTTTTTCGTTCTGCAAAAGCTTACACAAGCAAAAAAAAATTGAAACTCGCCAGTATCAGTGCCTCGAGGATCATGAAGGTGATCAAGAGAAAACAAGTATGCTGCGCCGGGAGCCCGATTATCGGAAGTAACGGGCTGTACTTGGCCCAGAAGCCCGGCTCGGCGTCTGCGGCGAAGGCAAAGTAGGGGAACTTCTGAAAATCGGGGCCGGCTCCAACTATTTCGGGAAAGTTCCCGATGCCTCAGGCCATTCCCGGAACCTCCGCTTTCCATTCCGGAAATCCCCGTTAAAAATTTCCCCGGAATGTCGCTCCAACTATTCCGGGATTCCGAGAATAGGAATTTTTCGCGCGTTTAAGCTTAGGAAAAGTCAAAACGTTATGAACTTTTATTAAATATGCCAAAAATCCCGATCTTGCGACACAAATATGCCAGATCAGTTTCCTCAACAAAATTTCCACCTTTTTTTAATTGTATTTTAAGCTTTTTTGATAGTTTTTTAGTTTAAATATAGTTATATATTGCCACAAACATTATGAAAATACTTTCAATTAAGTTACTAGCAGGGTTGTTCATTTTGGGTCCGGTCCGCGTCCGTCTCGCCCGGGACGCGGACCCGTCCCGCATCGTCCCGCATTTGCAAAAAAAATGCAGACGGCCTTGGACGAGTCCCGGACGGGGGACGGACGCAACGCGGGCTGGGGCGTCCGCGCGTCCGCAATGCAAATGACCGGAAGCACATGCAAAATCATTGCAAGCAGATTAACACCATCGATCGATTGTTGCCTTTTCTTAATTTACATAGCCGCTTTACTTCGGAAAGAAGGCGAAAAACGGTCATTTCATCAATTATCATGCAAGTTTTGGCTGCCCGCGCTTTGCATAGCGGGCTTGGCTACTTCCTGCGTCCGAGCCCGTCCGCCACGTCCCGGACCCGTCCCAGCCCGTCCGCTCTATCGGAGAAAATTATTTGGACGCGGACGGGTCCGGGCCCGCGTTCGTCCGAGCCCGGCCGTGAACAACCCTGGTTACTAGGCATTTTTAAGCTAAAATACAAAAAATCTCCCTCATCCGGTAATGCGAAAGAGCCGGAATTCACACGCTACCTGTATATTTAGCTGCATAATCCATCCGGGACCAAATTCCTGTTGCATCTACGACGCCGATAAGGCAAAGCCGCCCTGGATAACCACGAAATGCACCGCAAAAAAAAAGCCGCCACGTCTCGATTTTTAGCCTAAACCGGTTGAAGGCATTTTTTGATCCTCAGCGCGAAAAATCGCCCAATTCGACAATTAAAGCGACCTCGCTCGATGTTCGGCGCCAAGGATCAGGCGGTGTCGGTAGATGACGCATTGAAAGATTGCCAGGGCGACAAGCATTATCAGCTCTCCGCTGACAACCTAGAGGGCGATGTGGGTAAGACCTCATTTTCGGTAAAACTTTCCTTTATCCATACCTTTCGCGTGGGCCCTAAAATTCTTCCCCTTTCCCCGTTTATGCAAAGCGTCCACAGACACACACAAACAGACACTATTTTTTTAGATATCGTAGTATAGTAGTATACATACCTCCAAGAATTCAGCCAAATACTGCATTCAAATCCAAAATTCAAATTGTGGGAGGTGGGCCAGCGCTGAACCCCCGCGTGGTGGGGGGGGGTCAGCGCTGGTGTAAAATACAAAGTTAGAGCCGAAAACTTCCGGCCGGGGAGGGGGGTAAAGTAAAGTGCAGCCTTATATCCAGTCATCGGGAAGGTTCCAGATTTTTTTTAGTTTTTTTCATGAGTAGCCCTAGGACCCAGCTATCTTCCCCGGACGGCCATTACGATAATATTATACAAAAAGAACATTGACCCGCATCACTTTAATTTTGTGTTTGGCAAGTTGACAGGTGTTTGATTCTGGTTCGTTGGTGTAGGGGACCTTCTAATAAGGAATGCTTTTTTGGGTCATCGACAAAACCTTACGAAGCCTAGCTCTTTCGATAGAGAATTGAATTCTGAACCGAGCACGGTTGTACTTTATTGCGGAATAGTTGACTTCGATTTTATAAAATTAAAAAACTAGCGACCGTCTCGTACCACGAGTGCCCTTCAGACCAAAAAGAGAGGCTTTCGGGTGGAGTTAATTCATCGTTAGGCACGGGGCGAGGAATAAAGTAAATTCCTGCCAAAGGCTAATCTAGAGAAAAAACTGACAAAAGCCACGAGCAGACTGATGCCGAACACCGTATACAATGGGCCCCAAAGCCTGGCCAGGAGGGCCGGGTAAAGCATTTCCGCCGTCACGCCGTGTAGCATTAGCTCGGTGGCCACCGACCACGTCTGGAAAGATCGGCTTATTTTCAAAATGTCGAACAGTATAATGTCGAAATTTAGTAATGCCGAAATTTTATAATGTCGAAATTCAGAATGTTGACATTTACGTAGGCCAATATCCCGGCGGAACCACGAATCCTATGCAAAAAAAATGTGGCCTTCTGAAATGTCGACATTATGAAATTTCGACATTATGATTTTTGAGATTATGATAGCAATTCGGACACTATGACGCTCTTACGAATTGCCATTGTCAATCACCTGAAACCACAGCAAAAAATATTTATATCCCCTCATCGATGCCGGCGACGCAAACAGAATCAAATAAAAGGCGAGCCCGTTGAAGATAAACCCCAAATACATCGACACCTGCATCGCAGCGAGAAAGAATGTAGGGTCGCGTTCCATCAGAACTTCTGCCGCTTTCGGGCCGATACTATCACAGGAAACAATAGCAAGAAAATAGCAAATATTGGATATGCCTGCCGGTGTAGCCAGGTGCTTTTGGGCTTGAGCACTTAGCGCGTCCTTGATTACAGGGCGCCCAAAAAGCACCCGCTCCAATGCGACACAGAAGTATCCGATCGGAACGATAGTTACACCATTCGAAAGCGCTCGAAACGGCGAGTTTGCAACAGCCTTCAAAACTATGTTTTTGTTTCGATAATTTAGTATGTATAAAATAAGTAAGTCAGCGAAACAAGATAGACGCAGTTATTCATTAAAAGGCTTGATTACTCTACTTCCTCGTATGGATTTAGACTCTGATATTGATGGTGAACTGCCAAACATTCGCCCGACGTCTCGGTTGCCGACGGCTTCCGATTTGACAATTCTTGCAGTGACTCGACGCAGTCCTAAGTCAAAGTCAGCAAGCACTGGCCACAAAACCGTACCTTAAATTTGGGCCGCAGCGTGGGCTCCAGATTCCAGCATCGTTCCATGAGTGAATAACTAAAATGAGCCTGGCGTCTCAGTTTGAACATGGTCTTGCTTGCTTGAACTTGCTTGTGCCGCAAACTTTTTCAACGTTGGTGATACTTAGGCCTCGACATGCTGGCGCAAACGCCGTCGCACCTATCCTTCAACCTACAGAGTATCATCTGCATATTGCGGCTGAGAACATTGAAGTCCAGCTTGCAGGTCTTCTAGGTACACCTCCCTGCCAACGTACGGTTGCGCACCAAGCGAAAAGATTTCGTAGAGCAGGACGCCGAAGGACCAGACGTCGGACTTAATTTCGATTTTGAAAAATTTGTACCACCCCTGAGAATTTTAGGGTGTTAGACAGGCGGCTGCGCGTTAAAATCTGCGCTACAACTCACCGCTTGCGTGTAGCGCTTTGTCTGGATTGCTTCCGGGCTCATCCAACGCCAAGGCATCGATTCGCCCGAGTTTGGGGCTTTTCTAGAGGATTTTTGGGATAGGCTCGCACGTAAACTAGCAAAGATTGTTATCAATTACTTGTAATACTCGTTCCGCATCCGCTTAGCCAGCCCGAAGTCGGCGATTTTGCAGATTTTGTCCCGCGTCACCAGCACGTTCCTAGCGGCGAGGTCCCGATGCACGCACTAAGAATTACCAATATTGCTATACGAAGAGAAAGAGAGATGAGCGAGAGAGAGAGAGAGAGAGAGAGAGAGAGAGAGAGAGAGCGCGAGGGAGAGAGAACGGGCGGGCGAGTAGAGAGAGACAGAGCGAAAGAGAGGAGCGAGAGAGAGAGAGGCGTGAGAGAGAAAATAAAAAGTTGGGGAGAATGCTAGTATCGGTATCGCCTACAGGAACATCGCTGAGAAAAACCATTCCACGGGCGATTTGGTTTGCAAATGAGTACAGTTCGGCTATCGAGCCGTGACCCTAAAACCTTTCTGTTTTTTTTCGGCCGTGTAAATATCACGTGTGAATCCATTAGCGGAGACGCTTCCTCGAGGCGGTCGGCAGGCTGCTAAAGAACGTTTCGACCCAATTTCAATGTTAGTACCACGCGAAATATCGTTCGAATCACCCGGCTAGAAGATTCGTAGCGCGGTGCCTAAATTGAAATGAGTCGTAACAACCAATAAACTTGATTTGCATATTAAGATAGTGGAAAATGCCTTCATTAAGGAACGATCTCAAGCAGCGCGGTAAGTCGAAAAAAATGTCTAAAATTCAAAATGAAAGTGCGCCACCTCTGGCAGTGAGCGTGAGTCCATGCCAATCTTTTTCAGGTACAGCCGAAGACTTCCACGTTCACAGTACTCCAGCACGAGGTAAAGGCGACCCCTGAGCAACAATCGCATCAAAAAAACTCGAATTCCTAGCACCAGCCCATATGCTTGGTGACAGCCCCGACGAGCCGGAGGACATTTTCGTGCTCGCCGATAGCGCCGATAGCGCCCATGATTTTCAGCTCGTCGCGGAGCATCTTCTGCTGCACCATGTCATGCTGGCTTCGGGCCATCTCAAACAATTTTCGATGAAACCTTTAAATTTTTGAGACCTTGACGGCAACGGTGACCTTGGCGTCGCCTTTTGCGTTCCGACGCTTCAACCAGCCACGCCTGACAATCCCGAAATTGCCGGAGCCGATCTGCAAAGTAGTGATTTGATCGAGATGTCGTCGTCACCGACGCTACCTCCCGCCCGAGCACCAACTCCTCGGGCGAAATGTCGAACCGTTGCGCCTCAAAGGCCAAGTTGTCGACCTGTTGATCCAGGGACGCATCCGGTTCGTTTCGCAGGGTTTCCCATGGCTCTCCTTGGTTCCAGAGCGCCAGTCGCATTTTGGAGAGTTGCCTAAAAAGCGCTTAAATCCTTCGATTTTCCCCTTGTTTGGGCCTTTGGATATCAGGAGATATCTGTCCTTGGTGGTATTTTACGATTTAGGTATCAATCAAAATCTCTTGACGAGCTGAGAAGATACTTCCTCTTTATCGAAATTTCCGAATTTTTCGTTCGCTTTTTGGGATTCTTCATGCAAAATTGCACGTGTTAAACTTCATATTGCGTTTTAACCGGAATTTCGCCGGAATTGAGCCTTGAAATGTATGGCGCAAATGAAGCGCCGACCCTTTTTATCATAGGCAATTTTTTTTACTTTACAAAATATTTCTCGGAAAAAGGCTATTTAGGTATTTTTAACAAGCCGTTCTTAAGAGCAGAGTTTCAATTTCGAGCCGGAAGTTGATGTTAATTCCTGCAAAGTCCAAAACGTTAGCCAAAAAATGAAGCAGTGTTGGAAAAACGGTATTTTTGCAATAATTCGAAAACTACTTTGCCGATCGGGCTGAAAGTTTTCGTGAACATTTTAAATTCCATTCCGCACCTCCATTCAAAATTTTAAACCGATCGGTTTTGGAATGGCGAAATGCCAGCGTGACCTTTTTATGGGAACCTACAAACTCACCGCGAGTGTACATAGCATCTTACGATTAAATAACCGATGACACACAGGAGGATGAAAAATACAAGTGCCGCGACAATCAGCCAACCGCGGCTCATCGGCACTGGGCTGTGGACAACCTTTAATGGACTCACATGATGTGTTCGCGCCATTCACAAGAAGCGTTTTCCCCAGCATTTGGCGCTGCGACTTATTTTGCGACGCGCTTTTTTTTGCAGCTTGTGCAAATCTTGGCTAATCGATATTGCTGAAAAATGAGATATTGCCGCTAGAGCTTAGGTCTCCTTGGACCTGGATAGAGCGCGTTCAGAAACCCGCAAACTAATCAAGAACCGAATTTTAAAAGCTCCTTCTTCATATTTAGAGATCGATTTTGGTAATTTGGTAGGGAAAACGGTTATTTATACGATTTTGGGCCTAGTGAGCCAGGTCGCGCGCGTTTCGGCGAGCAGGGCGGGCAGCCCAAAGTTACAGCGCTTGCAGCCGCTGGTAGCCTTATCAAAACCTTACTTTCAGCGTCAGTGCGGCCTCCTTCACCACGCCTCGATGTTCCGCACTACATACGTATTCGCCAGCATCATCAATGCCGACTTTCGAGAAAACCAGGCGCTGCGGCTGATCCGGGTCGTGTGCTCTCGGTGAAACCCGTTCCCCGTCTTTCTTCCTAAATATACCATTTTTTGGATTTTTTAAAATGAATTCATTTTATCTGCTTGACCTCCTGACCAAATTATGTTTTCCGGGTCGACGTCGGTGAGGTTACAATGCAAGCTGCCCGTTTGGGCATAATCGAGGAAGTGCGTCTGATTTAGTGTGTTGATCACTTCAGGCGCTGTGGGTGTGAATACCTAAAACAAGGCTTTTTAAGGTATCGTTTAAGCATGAAGGGATTTTTACAAGCTTACTGCGATATTTTCCCGCCCAACCAACGTTTTGTTTTCACCGTTGACGAAAAAGCACTCGTAGAGGACCTCGTCACTTTTGGAGATGTTCTAGAATAGTCTGTTCAATACTTTTTTTTTCAATCTCACAATCAGCGCGATCGTGTTCAGCACCGTCAGGGTACCGTGCAGGGTCCCCGAATCGAGCAACGTCCCGTTTTTGGTCCATTCTAGACGCCTAAAGCATCTTTAGTGGAAGCAGTCCATGAGGTTACCAAAAAAGGATAACGTTCTAGAATACTCACTCTCCGGTGTTTTTGGGCACCTCACAACTCAGCGTTACATCATCACCAACTTGGATCCTACCCTAAAGCAAAAAAAATGTAGTTTGCTTGGCTACTTACCGTATCATTTCTGGTGGACCTAGAAGCATAGCGAGTAATGTTATGCCAGACCCGTGGTGAAGGTGCTTTTCTGCGCATTTGCTCGGGGTGCTGGAATCGTTTTGTTTTTAAGTAATTTCTTTAGATTCTCGCATTAAAAATACTTTTAAAAAGTTGAGGTACACAAACTCACGTCAAGCACGGCGTCCATGAATCCCAAGATGCTCTCTTCTGCTAGCTAAAATTGTGGAATTCGTGGAACCAAGCGCTAGGCCTAACTCACCTGCCGCGATTCCTCAGATTCCTGTATTGCCGGAAGAACCTAGAATGAGCCTTAAAGGGGCGTCGAAGTGCAAAAACAAAGCCCCGTTTGAGCATCTTCAGCAGCCACTGCGGCCCGACGGCCTCTCTCGATTTTTGCGCGAAAATGTTTTTGATGGATTTTTTGCGAAAACACTAGAATTTCCAGATTCTGAGCCAATTTCTTAAATCCTCACAAAATTTTAAATGCTTTTGGTGTCTTAATCCACGAATTTGGCCCGGAATCGCCCAAGAAAGCGATTTGCTGGTGACAACGGGGAACTTTTGATTCCCGCGCTTCCCGCGTTCTGCGGTGTGCAAAGGCCTTGGGCGTACAGGATCGGGTTTCCGGGCGGTAACTCAATTTCTGGCGCTTCGGACCCCATTAAAATTGTAGACCGCGAAAAATGGCACCGTGATATTGATCCTTCCAACAGGCGCCAATTTGCCCGCTTCGCGGTGATAGCATTCGTAGTTACCATTGTCCGCCTCGGCAACGCTCTCAAAAAAGTGGATCCAACTTTGTGTTCCAGATACCTTTAGAACGATCGAATTGATCTGGGTCACCGTCGCCGGGAACGTCTCGGAACGGATCAGCATCCCGTTTTTAAACCAGCGCAGAGGTCTGGAAATTCGGTACCTAGTTACAAGGACCGCTTCAGAACAGTTCTTACAATTTTTAACAAATTGAAACCTACTCTCGATTGATGCGTGGAACTTCGCAGGTCAGCGTCACCTCGTCGCCAACGTGGATTGCTCGCTAAAACTCACCCAATCGCAAAGCCAAAGTCCCTACCGAGTGGTTTCGACCATGCGCCGTCGCTTTTGCTGTAACGTTGAACCAGGCACGTGGTGGTGGCGCCATGTTTTTCATTTTCCGCCGGTGCTGCATAGAAAAAAGTTACATAATTTGTGTGATGTGGCTGCGTGAACCATTTAAATTTCGGAAAAACTGAAACCTACCAGAGCCATAGTCGCTTCTGAAGCTAGCATCACGGCCTCGGGTAACTGAAGAAAACGCCGATAAATGAACATTTTGCCAACCCTACCCGTTGCGGAAAGGGCATGAACACTTGTTCGCGATCCCGACGAACGGTTTCCAGCTCCAGCGTGTTACAGTGGTGCTCAATCTGCAATGTTGATACAGGGCTTTTAAAATGATGTAGCACACACCACGATATATGGATCCGGCCGGTCAGTGATGAACAAGAAATCTGGGTCCGCTGCGCAGCCATAGACGCCAAAGTGGCCGTCAGAGTTCGTGTAGGCGGTTCTGAAAAAAAGCCCTGAAAGACAAATGTAGCCCTGTAGATCAGTTCGCCATTACTTTCTCTGGGAATTCTGATCATGGTACGCTTTGATCTTGGCCAGGCCCAAAACAATTCCCGCAAAATCCCAGTTAGGAAACGGACTAGGGCACAAATTGCCAAATTGCGATAACTTATAAAAGTGTGATACGCCGCAGAAAAAATCTTACCCCATCAGGGTGTCCGCGCCAAAAATGTTCATCCCCAAGAACGAGTCCGAGTCATAGAGGGTGACCTAGAAGGTAAAAAGAGTTTATGCTGTTGGGTTGCTATGCGGCTCGACCACGCTTTTGGAAAAGAATGCTCGGTAAGTACCATGGTCGTACGCTTTGTGTGTTTTTTCTGAAAACTCGTAGTTCGAGAACATCGGCAGCGGCACGTACTGAACACGTGCTTGATACGTACTGGCGGCTGGCACGGAAAAATTTTCTTCGTCATGTTTTGATGATGCCAGAAAAGTCCCGCCGAAGAACAGCTTTTTTCAGCGTCACCACAACGAGCGGACCCCTACCCAAAAATACTTTTCCGCAAGAAAAATAGCAGGTAGTATTTTTCAATGGTTTTGAGCTTTTCGAAAATTCGGCATTTTTTCAACCCGATTCTCAGCTTCCTTTAACCTTGTTTTGCGATACCTTCCAAATGGCTTCAAAAAAGACGCTACCGCAAATTTTATATTGGATGCATTTTCATCAAAAAGCCCACCTTTACATTATTCTCCAGAGCCGAGTCATGTTCGCAGACGACCTGCCCGTACACAGTCACACATTCGTAGCTAGCGTAAGTGACGCCGCACAACAAATAAAGATAGCCTAAGAGCAAAACGGAACGCATTCGACTGGTTGACGCCGGCGGAAAGGGTTTGAAAAACTGGGTGGCGAGACTGTTTGGCCGCGAGCCGGCCCCTGATAATGAGAGCGCATTTTTTGGCGTCACAATTTGATTCGCAATAAAATGAGGTAAGAAAGGCGTGACGTAACGATCGGAAGCGCGGCAAGTTTGGCTGTTGATGCGAATGGGACGATAATGAATGAGTCAGTTTTGATAAGGTTGCGGTGGTCATTTCACAAGCCGTGCTGCCTATACTAGATTCTCCTTGAACTGTTCCTTCCTTATTTAGCTTCTTCCCGAACGCATCGTGGTGAAGCATTTGGTTGCGTGATAAGGAATCGTGAAAAATGATGATGAAAGAACAAACACAAAAATTTACGACTTTTCACGCAGAAACACTTCACCTCTTCTTCTTCTCAAAAACCTGGCGTGGTGATTGCTTTGGCATAGACCAAATAAGATCCGTGAAACGGTTTTTCGTATGGCAAGCTCAGGCCAGACTGCATGAGTGCTACCTATTCCTTTAGGAGCCTAGTCGCAGACGGAATGCAATTTTCGAATCCACAGTGCCGCAGAGGTCATCGAAGTGTTGCCTTGTGTTTTCAAGATCGTCGCAATAAAAACTTTATTTTTTTCCAAGATCTGCAATGTACAGAAAAACGCAGAAAATACAAGGACCCGTAAGAAAAATACATCCGGCCGTCGCAGCAGAAAAATCTCGGCGATTGTTTAGACCAAGCCTTCGACACTTTGGCCAAGCCGTCGCGTCACTGGTTCCTGAAACCCATTGATATGTAATTATGGCAAACGCAAAAATTCACGCATTCAGCTCTCTTTTCTTGCTTTTTAATGGTTCAATAAAATAACTGGTTTGTGAGAATTAAAGTATTGGGTGTCTTGAAGGATGCCATAATGGTTTTCTGCAACTTCTTTCGATTTCAATTTGTCGTTTTCTTTCAACGAATCCCAAGAATTCGAAACCTTTGCCTAATCGATTTTTATCCTGTTTTGTAAAGCTCTTACGTATCCATCGAGAATTTTAGCATTTTGGAAATAGATTTGGTTTTGCACTTCAATGATTTCGGCAACCGCCGTCGGGTCATCCAAATCAAGCTGCTGGCTGGCAAGTTCCTCCAGGATCATGACACATTGCTAGAAATTGCTGTTGCAATGAAACCACAAAAAAAAAGCCTTGAACGTCGGCCGCCTCGCTGGTGACAGCGCCCAACAATCTTTCATGAAGGAGTATCTGTAATTTTGCTTGGCTCAAGTTTCTCTACAAAAAAATTATAGTTGAACTTCACGACACCCACACTTCTCTACTCGCGTATTCCGGTTGCGGACAACGCAATCCGCCCTTAATCTTCTCCATCAGGGTTGGGTTGATTCCGCTGCGATACGGTTTCGCGCCCAACGTGAACATCTCGAAGAGTAGGATGCCGAAAGACCAAACGTCGGACTGAAACCATGAAAATTATAAACTCAAGTTGAGAATGATCTTTTTTGGGATTGCCTTTGAAAAGACGTTATTGATTATTGTCATCGTCTTTTCTGCTTAAGCCCTACTGCTTGTGTGTAACGCAACGTTTCGAACGCTTCCGGGCTCATCCAAAGCAGCGGCATTCCTTCTGGCGAGTTGGGATCTTTTCTGAATGTGATTTTGTTTAAAAATATTTGGCCAATTTAATAGGATCACTCCCATACCTGTAATAATCATTCATCATGCGCTTGGCCAGCCCAAAATCGGCGATGCAGCAAACCTTATCGTGAGTCAGCAGCACGTTCCTCGCCGCCAAGTCACGATGGACGCACTAAAGTATGACCTAGCGCTTGTATTTTCAAAATCTTCGACTTGGACATCTTTCCACGTCCGAAAAACTTAATAAAGCTTCACAGACGACTGAAAAAATTGCCAACTCACCGGAACCGCACTCAAAAAAGCCATGCCCTCAGCAATTTGAATTGAGAAATTGAGGAGCTCGTTGATGATTTGGAGGTCCTAAAGCAAAATCCTTAATTTTCGGCGTTACTCGACTTTAAATAAACTTAAAAATTTACATTTGCCGTAAGTAGGGATTCCGCTTCCACCGGTTCCACCACTTCCGCGCCTGCAAGGAGTTTTGGGAGCGGCATGGGTGCCTTGTCAGGACCCTAAATGGAGTAAAAATCATGCTCTTGATTGCATCTACCGGATTCAGCATGGATTGGAACACTGTTGTCGGGGAGCGGTAGCGTGGCGACTAAATCACTAGATAATTATAAATTTTTTTTGGATTAAGTGCAGTTTACCCCCATCCCCCCCACCAACTCCACCTACCGTATCTCGGCTCCCTGTTTATCTACAGGTGGGTAAAGTATGCGAAAATACTCGCCAGAGCCAGACGAACATTTTGGTATACTTTACACACCTGTAGATGAACAGGGAGCCGACATACAAAAGTTGGGTGTTGGCGGGGGCCGGGGGGGGGGTGGTAAACTGCACTCTAACCATTTTTTTACATTTTTGATCGATGAGATAACGTTAAAAAATATTCTTTCGCTCGCCTGTAATGGTGATCGTGCGGCCTCTTCAACCGAACGCAGATAATCCAGAAGACTTCCCCTCTCGCAAAATTCCGTTACAATATACAGACGGCCGCTACAAAAATAGTCTAACTTTTCAAGGCCTGTTACCTTCTCATATTTTGGGTGACGGCCCCTACTAGCCGCAAAATATTTTTATGCGCTGGAATAGCGCCCATTATTTTCAGCTCATCGGCGAGCATCTTTTGCTGCTTGGTGTCCTCCACGTTTAGGGCCATCTACAGGTTTTTGGAAAATTGCCGAAAGCTTGTCAAACCTTAACGGCCACCAGAACCTCCTTGTCACCACCGCCCGAAACCGGCGTCTTCAGCCACCCCCGCTTGACGCAACCGAATTGCCCGCTGCCCAGCTGTTATCGTCAATGATTCTGGTTTAGCAAGGTTGCACTGACCGTCCCCTCGATCCTCAAGTTGCGAGGGGGTATCTCGAACTGGCTAGCCTTGTAGGCCAGCTTTTCGACTTGCTGGTCCATGGGTAACATTTCTTTTCGCAGCTGTTCCCAGGATAGCCCTTTGTTGAGCAAGGCGTTTTGCATAGCGTACAACTCGCTAAAAATCACGCTTTCTATGCTGAAATTTTTTTTAGTCTTGATCACCATGGCCAGGCGAAGGTGGCAAACGGGAAACTATGATATCAGAATATGAAAACCTGAACCCCGAAAATCAGGATTTCAGAAATCGGAACTTCGCGAATCGGAATCTCGTAAATCAGAAGCCCAACATCAAGATCTCGAAAATGAAGCTAGCAATAATCAAACCCTCGTAAACCAAAATCACGAAAATCCTCAAAAGTTTCTTTTTGCCTATCACGAAAAGTTAGTGAGTTAGGACGACGACCCGATTTCCTTACAAAGTGTTGCGGTTTTGTAGAATTGATTTTCGCGATTCTGGTTTTCGTAGTTCTAAACCTTCGATATTCTGGATTTTAGAGCCCCATTTTCGATATTCTGGTTTTCGAGATTCGGATAGCAAATCGCCCCAAACGGCGAAACTCACAACGTCAGTTTGTCGGCTCGCTTCCGGTGGTGCCGACATTTTGCGGTGAGCATGACAATGATGAAGAGGCAGCACGATAAACTGGTCAGTATCACGAAAATCCAGTAAAATTCCGGAAAGGGGTCGTCGACCTGGAATTGGGGGACGTTGCAGAGTTTGTCTTGATTCGCAGGGACTCGGCAGCCGCTCACCGTAAGCATCGTCTCCGCCAAACGATTTTCGTAGCGACAGGTATAATTTCCGGCGGCATCAAGGGTAATCGAAGTCAGATACAAGTGTGTTCCATCAGTAGTCGATGAAAGCGGCGGAATTTTTTGACCGTCTTTCTTCCTAAAAATAGCTAGCTAATAGCTACCTGAGGGTTAACACGATTCCAATGCAACTGACTGTGATCACTTTGCTCGGGACATAGCAAGCGAGTCTGAGTTGCACCCACCATTCTATGAGCTTCACGTTTGCGTCAAATATATAGCAATGTATCGTGACATTTTGGTTCGTCCTGTGCTTGATATTCGAGAAAGAAACTGTTGCATCCTTGCGCGGCTCAACCTGAAAATGGAGCTTACGGGCACATGCTATGGACAGGAAGTCCCATAAAAAAGCACCACCCCCGCCTTTCGCCATATTAGATCCGATCGGTCCCAGAATTCGACCAGAGCTGTATCTGACCCTCAATAACCACAATCCTGAGTCAAGTCCACAACCCTCTGGCGGGCCGCAGCAGCGTCCGATTTTGAGGATTTAGTTATCTAACAACAACTCTCGAAAAAGGTGTGCAAACAAGCACGTTCGGTTTTTCCAAGAGCCATTTAATTCACGCATTTTGAGTAGGTGTAAAAATCATCCCGAGCTGAGCTTTTGCCGGACCGCTAGATGCAGGTCGATTTTTTGAGACACGCTGTAGGTTCTTACTTTTTAAGCTTCCTCACCGTAATTTTCGTGTCGCTCAAAAGAACGGTCCTGTTATTGGCCACCTGAGAGCACGTGTAAACCCCCGCATCGGCCTCAGTAATGTTCTAAAATCTTTTTGCATCTTGTTCAGGGGTGAATTCTACTGTCATCGCGATCGTTTCGTTCACCTCCAAGATGCGCCCATCTTTTCGCCATTCAAGTCTTGAGCTAAAACCGATCACTAAACTGCGTCAGGTCAATGCGCCCAATATACCGTAATCCCTCTGATATGACCCCCGGCGTTATATTTTTTGAGGGATACATTTTTCGTGATTTTGAGCAACTACAATGGTTTTTAGCAGTTCGAACTGCTCACAACCACTCACGAACACCGTGCAAGGCACAAACAGAAACGTTTTTGGAATTTTCTGCTTCTTAGAGGTCATTTTAAAACAATTTTGGAGGGCAAAATTAGAGGAAATTCTAACTGGTGGCTTTTGAATAACTTGTGCCTTGCAAATAATAACCTTTGATGCAAACGATGCATTGCTGGCAATTCCAGGGCCTCGATTTTGCATACCTACCCCTCGCTAAACTCCGAGACTCCGCAGCTTAGGGTAGCATCGTCGCCAGTCAAATAAGAAATGAGTTGCTGTGGCAACTTCGGCTCTTCAGTGGTCGTGGTTCTTGGTGACGTCGGCGGCTCTGTTTGTGTGGTGGGCTAAATATGACTCAATACTAACTTACAAAGAGGGTGATCCTTTTTCGAAAATCATATTTCCGAACTTTACTTAGTTAGAGTTAGAGTTAAGGCTGCGCAGCTTTCCGGGAGCTATATTTTCGACAAAGCGAAATTTCAAATTTGCATCGATATTAACCCTTCGCAGACATTTCCTATGGATATCTGGGGGGCGATCGTCGAAAACGCGGCTTTCGGACATTTTCGGATCTTCCTTTCAAAAATATGACTATCGGGAAACGGCTTTTCGAAAAAGTGCTTATCGAAAATGTTCATGCCAAAAAGAGATTTTTGTATTTTTGAAAACAACGTATCAACAACAATTATGGATAGCGCACGAAAAACTCACCAGTTTTGTCGAGCCACGCAGGATCCCCCGCGCGGCCGGGAGCTAAACACTGTATTGTTGCAAAGTTGGAACCGGTTTTTAGGCAAAATGTCACCTAATACATAAAAATACTCAAAGAGAGAGAGAGAGAGAGAGAGAGAGAGAGAGAGAAGAGAGAGAGAAAGAGCGAGAGGGAGTGAGAGAGAGCGGACCAAATTAATTCGGGACGAGACTTTCCTCACCGTTCGTGGACTAGGAGTCGTGCTCGTGGTAGTCGTGATCGTATTTGTTGTCGTTGGTAATGTAGTCATCTTCTAAAGATATATCCGATTGTGGTTTTGCCCATTACGTCCCTCAGACACTCTTCAACGGAGACGAATACATAAACAACTTTTCCCAAATGCCCACCCGTCTCCACCATAGAGGGGCGGTCGACGTGAGATTGAGATCCAGGAAGTACTAAAAATTGAACAATAAAGATGAAAAAAATAGCAGCTGTAATAGGGGTTCATAATTGTAATATCAAGCAGTACAACGACTTACTTTTTCTACACCGTCCCCTATAAATAGTGGAGACAACGGGCGCCGCAGGGTCTCGTCCCGCCCATTACACTGGTGATGCATCTTAAAAACGTCGAAGGCTTTTTGTCTAGATACCATTTTTTAAGACTTACAATGGGTATTTACAATTTCTATGGCTTCCAACCAAAATTTTGCGACAATGAACCCACCGTAATATACGGATCAGGCTGGTCGACGATGAATAAAAAATTTTGATCCTCCGCGCAACCATATACAAGGAAAGAACCATCCGCGTTTGTCATTGTGCTGCTGAAAAGTAGGGAATATGGCCAAAAGGCGAGAGAGAGAGAGAGAGAGAGAGAGGGGGGTACGGATCCTGGGATAGCTCGACTCTCAATGCATACCCCATAAAATCGTCCTGATTGAACGCCTGAATCCCCAGAAAGCCATCTGCGTCGAAAAGCTGCACCTAAAAATTAGCTCAAAATATTTTGTTTGCAACAGAATCCGCCGGAGACAAGACCAAATTTCTAAAAAACATTCTCCAATTTGGAACAAAGTTTTTATCGATTTTTTTGCACGCTTGGGTGTTTTTTCTAGCGTTCAAATTCGAATCAGCAGCATGACATCGAGTCCCGGCCAGGTTAGATAAGAGACCAGTGCCAGGAAGTACCAAAGAACTGCTGATGTTATATGTTTTGAAGTGCGATTGCGTGGAATTTAAACAGGGCGAACAAAGTTAAATGAGTAAGTAAGTAAGTAATGTTTTGGCTTTTTCAATACAAAAAACTAATTGCCCAGCAGCAAAGCAAAAATTTTCTGCGAATTTTCATTTTGATTTTTCACCCCTAAATGTTATTGTTGAGTTATGACTTTGTTCATCACCGAATTGACCTAGAATTGCTCAACTTAAAGCTCATGCTCATTTCCGTTTCAATTTTAATTTGGTTTTATACGGATGGACTGACAAAAAACTACAGTAAAATTATGATAGTTGGTTTTACGACAATAAAAACTTTATGCTATCCGAAAAATCAAGTATAATTCTCGCCTCTACATTCCGGATCTTTGACGGGTCGTGGGCGCAGTGCAGTTGCCCGTAAATACGCATGCATTGGTAGCTGGCCCGAGCGAAGGCGAGTATTCGTAAAAATAACAAAAGCCCACGAACCATCCGACGCGCTAGAAGGCGATCGTTCCGGAAAAATGAGGCGGCTTCGGCCTGATAACTGTCCTCCCGTTTTTGGCGGTGTTCGTCTTTATTTGGTGCAATAATATGGCCTAAGAGTTTGGACTAGCCGGCCCGATCGATTGTCGCGTGTCTGATAAGCCGGTCTGAGCATGGCTCTAGCATACATGCAAAACGTTTAAGCGTGAGGAAACCTTCTTTCGCACATGGTCAGAAGTTGCTTGAGGGCGCTTCTCGATTTTTTTAAGGAGCCCATTACTGCATGTTCGCCTGATAAACAAACGACGCTGATTTGTACGCGACCAATCATTCAATTTTATTTTTTAGTTTATTTCAGCTGCCGCCAATATTTCTTGCCTGACGATGAGGAAGCTAATCGGAAGGAGCTAGAAATCATGCTTTGTCGTTCTCTCCCAAATATAAAGTTTTAAACCCGAAGAAGGTCAACTCTAACTCAGTTTTCAAAACTTTGTTTAGTACTTCCGGGTCCTGTTTCTTTATCTGGAAAATCGGACAATCGGGATTTGGAAGAAGATACTGATATTGTAAGGATATTTCCAAAACATCGATGCAGCGTTTATATCCATATATTTATTGATATAGAGCACAGACAATCAGGGGAAAATATTTGTACATTTCGGTCCTTTGGGCGTGGATCTATTCCTACTAATTTTATGACGTGTGTCGTTTTGCATTTTCACGCTAATACGATGTCGACAAGAGACTGGTTGTGCTTCGTGTTTAGGTAGAGGATCCCGTCAAACTGAAAAAATAGCATTTCGTTTTTGACATAGTGCGATAGAAAAATTTTTTGAAAAATTTTATGAGCTTCGTTTCCGATAACTTTTTAAAACGGGTCCCGGGCGCCGCCGGGCCTAGGCTTCGGCAGGCCTTGCCAACGGGCCGGGCCGCAAGGCCGGGCTCGGGCCCAAACTTGGCGGGCCGGGCCCGCTAGGCCCGGATCAGTCCTGGACGATGATTTTCGGAGAAAATTTTTCGAATTTTGAACCAAAAAACGATTTTTTTTCGACTTCGTTCACCTTTTTTCAATTTTTTTTCGTTAATTTGTGTTTTCGCTAGAAAAAAAATCAATGCGTGACCGTATCCGGGTAATTGACATTCCTGGTTTGTAGTTTCTTTAGAAGCTCTAGAAGGTTTATAAGCCGGAATTATTTTGCTTTTGGACTGAATGGACAAGCAGGAACTGTTAGGATGGTTTACAACCTGGTTTAGGGTATTTTCAGGATCAGCTTTATAGACCTTAGCCGAAAAACGGCCAACCGCGAAAAACAACGAACAAAAATTGTCGGTAGTTGACCTTACTATTGGCCGGCAACAAAAGCTTTGTAAATAGTTTTCAGAAAGTTTGTAAGGTTTTTCTATGCAGAATTAGTTAAAAACTGTTTCGAAAGTATTGCTTCGATTTATAACCAAAAACCCCCTCATAGGTCAAAAAAATTTGACCGGTCCGCCCTGGCCCTATTTAGTGCCGGGCCGGGCTCGGGCCTGAAATTCTGGATTTGGCCGGGCCGGGCCGGGCCCGGGCCTGGCTGGGCGACCCCCCTCAGGCCCGGCCCGGCCCGGCCCCGCCGTTGTCAAGGCCTGGGCTTCGGGCGCGAAACAGATTGCAAAGAGTGGCGCCGCGCTGTCTCTTTCCCGTCCAAATACGATTGAAGCGGCAAAAAATTCCTCTTTAAGCCTGTTTTTATGAACAACCACAACTATATAACGCATCAATATGCCGAATTTCGCACCAAACGCGGACTTACCTGCTGTTTCTTAGGTTCGAACCAGTACTTTAGATCAATGCGTTTCATCTCATTCTCGACCGAGTTGCATTTATGATATATCTAAAACTAAGAAAACAAAATTAACGAAAGCAATGGTAACGCGTGGCCAAGGCCATGACATACTTTTAGATACGGATCCGGTTGGTTTTCACCAAAAATTCCACTGAAAATGTCCGGATCGTCGGCGCACCCGTCCACCCCAAATTCGCCGTGTTTATTGGTCCAGGTCTGCCTAAAAAGGATTGGGTTGAGGGTGGAGAAAAAGCTCAAACTTCTAATCCAAAAATTTTGAAAGCTATGTACGAATTTCCACTAATAATATGGCCTTAAATGAACTTGACATGACGTTGCAAAATCGTTTTTGGAAACATCCGAGACCTTAGTAGTCATTAACAATATTTATTGGCGCACTGGGCCACTGCCAGTAACTCTTACGCTATGAAGTCATCGTGGTTGAGGGGGTGGCGGTCCATTAACGCATCCGAGTCCCAGAGCTGGATCTGAAGCCTGGTTTTTTTAAGAATATTCACTACAGGGTGTCCCAAAAAAACGACCTGCTCTAGTGAGCCGTAGAAGCGTTCGATTTTAACAATTTAGATATCTATCCAAAGCCCGCAAGAAGGCGGATAAAAGCGCTTTACGTTTTTTAGCCTAGGAATTTTAATTCACGAAATTCCGGGGCGAAAATCCATGAAAACTGCGATTCGTGCAAAAGCCGCACGTGAATGGCTGAGCCCAAGTTAACATGACGACGCTAATGTTACGCTTTTTTAAAGAAATTGTTTAATATCGAATTAAATATTATAAATATATAATAAATTTAGGGAAACGAAAAGCGCTTGCTTTCTCGCCTTTCGACGGGTTTCGAATGGTGTAAAAATCATCGAATCCGAGCCGCCCGCTTCCGCCTTGCTAGCGGGGTTGATTTTTTGCACACACTGTAATTAGCGTGATTTCTGAGAGAAGGAGAAAGATACCTTGACGTCAGCGGCCCGATTCGGATGCCCGAGACAGCCCACTCTCCCGGCCACATTTACGCAATTGTAGCTGCCTAGCACTGCTGGGGCTAGGCCCATTAAAAGAATCAAGAAGATCGATAGCATTTGTGGTACGAAGGGGGTTACTGCGACGGTGAAAATGAGTGCCCGATAAGGGGCGCCGAGTTTTTATATGCTGGACAGTTTTGCGATTTCCTTTGTAAGAAAATGGTGGTTCGGGCAAGAATGAATAATCAAAATTTCAAAATAATTTTTAATGGGGAGTGACGAGATAAGGTAAGATACCTTATTCAACGAAGCAACATTAACAGAGCAACGAATAAAGATGTGGCTGACACGCGGGATCGCTTTTGCGCAATTATCCCACAATTTTCAAGTGTTTTTTTGCAGTATTTGAACTTGTCGTTTATTGGTGGAGTGGCCGCAAGTAGTTGTAGACAACCTCAATTTTTCCTGCTATGCAATAAATACTTCAGTTTGAGTGCATGCTGTAAAAGCTGCCCTTAAGATTATCAGGGCTGGTACCAAAGTGCCAAATTTTATTTTACCACTACTGGTCAAACGTTGACTACCCCCTAGTCAAACTATTACTAGGGGCTAATCATGCCACCATTCGCTAACTAGTAATTCAATACAAAAATACCTAGTCAAAGCTTGACTACCCCCTAGTCAAATTTTGATCACCCCCTGGTCAAAATGTGACTACCCCTAGGTCAAACCATCCCCGAGCAAAATGGTGATAAGGGGGCTGGTCAATGAAAAAAGGGTTTTTATTATAAAAACTCGCTAAATTTACCTAGGATGCTAGATTTTGGAGTACGGGCAGATTAAGGTGTGAATTTTCGATTGGCTAAGCCCAAAAACGCTCAGTTTCGATGTTTGGGGAGAAAATTTTCTTGCAAGTGTGGATTACCATCTGGTCAGACGAAATATGAAAAAACTTTCATATTAATTTGACCAGGGGGTAGTCAAGCTCTGTAGTGGTTTTACCCTAGAGTTCCACCTTATTTTCTTTCGTTTTTACCACTACCAATCATCCAGGAGGTGGTTTGACTAGGGGGTAGTCACATTTTGACCAGGGGGTGATCAAAATTTGACTAGGGGGTAGTCAAGCATTT